GACGAAATGGCTTTTTTAATGAAGTTGTCACTTTCCTTTTATCTATTTGTAGCCTTAAACTTAGATTTTCAAGATATTCGTGATATAGTAAATGCATGACTATTTGTCACATTCGTAATTTATATCTCAAAGTACTTGCTTTAAATAATGCTGTTCAGCAGTTTGTGATGCAGGACCAGATGGTATCATGTGATCATGCTATATAGATATTAGCGTAATAGGTTTATGAATTTCTTTGAAAACAAATTTTACTTTGACAAAGACACGCTTTCAAAACAACGTGACATGAACACTCAATGTTAGACTATTAATATCAGTCACTCGCTAGTTAGATTCATCATTAATTAACTTTACAGCTTCTTTACCTACGATCTGTACTTTATTGCGGTACGTTGCTACGGAATTCAACATGCATCGTTAATTCAAGTTCAATGAAGAAATGACTGAATCGATCGGGCAGTTATTTATGGACAGAAAGCGCCATAAACGGAATTTCACAGTCGGTGCCTAAAGCATTAATAGGTTACGATATTCGTTGTTAATACGCTCGTCGGTTAGCTGAAACACCTGATCAAGTACACACGGCAGAGTTGTCCGTTTTCTTTTAATGACTATGAGCACGGTCCATTCGTCTCCTAGCCGAGTGACTGTCGGTGTCAGTGTCTCGATAACATCTTACGACCAGCAAGAAGGTTGTGCTGTTTTTCGCGCCAATTCCGCTAGACAGCATCGCATCGTTGTCGCTGTAATATGGAACCGTTTCGAGATCAGAACGCAACTTAATTCGATTTGTTTTTTTCCTCGCTGCTCTCGCACCTGTTTCCAATTCTTCCAACTGCAGACCGCGTAGATAAGTGAACCGGGCGAAGAACTAGAACAAGCATAAGTTTTTGCCGCGTTCTCACGATGCTGCGTGATCTTCTTGCTGGTCGAGTGCACACTTGTCTTGTATGCGCCTTTGTTTTGTGCACTTGGTGAATTTTTTGTTCGTCAGGTAAATCACGTGCGCGAGGGCGGCGAGTCCAATGAATGGCGTCTCAACTTCCTGAATCAAAACAACCCGGTACAACTGAGGTGCGTCGCGTGCAACGAACTTTGCACGAAGTAAGTAATCTTTCGTTGGTTGTCAGATATCGGCTACGACCGCTGTCTCACTCACTGAGGGCCCCTCAGTGTCTCGTTTTCGGTAATGGTGATGACCACTACCATTTCTAGCTTGCACAAGCTTCAATCACACGTGACCTCACTGCGCCATGGATGCTCTGTCCGCGCCTGGCGCACCGTCGACACGGCAATGACAGAGGCAGGTCAAGACGGTCAGGGTGCTCCTGCCTTACTTTTGTGCACTCTCTGTCGCTTTTACGCTGCCAGCAGAAGCCAGATGTTTGGTAAATGACGAAGCCAGCTCCGGATGAATGAGGATATTTGTTTTTTGTAGCTCATTTGCATTCTGCGGCGCACGTGACTGCGGCTAGTCGATACGTAGCGATGATTGAAGAGTTAGCACCGGGATGCTGTAGCGACCCATTGCCTGACTGGGTTCAGGTGCGACGCGCACCCAGTGACGCTCTGGAGGAAGATGATTGTGAGATCGATGAGGACGACGAGGTGGAAGCAGAAACGGAAAGACTCGAACCTGGCGACATTGCCGCTTCTGCTGACAGCCACGGTGAGTTCACTGAGTTCAGTCGTCAGGCTAGCGCTATAATGCGAATGCAGGCTGGGTGCCGTAATTCCGTCTTGCTTAACCACGTTGTTGCACAGAGCCTCTTTTCGCAAGACGAACACGTGCACTTGTTTAACAGTTTAGCAAGTCTCAAGTTGACATCAGCGAATTTTTTACACTCTCCATTTAGTCCATTCATATGTTGAATGCTGGTATGTATACGACTGATGCAACTGAAACAGGTTTCCAGCTGACTGCGTGACAGCACATATAAACGTTCTGCTTAGAAAGGAAAATCTGCCCAAAAGTCGAAGTCCTTGAACTTGATATAGGAAAGAAATACATTGTTTGGAATCTTTGTGTAAAAGTAGAATAGAGTCAATTATCTGTCATACAGTATGTTTTAGGGATAGAAAGTCAACCACAGAATTTCTCCATTCTGACTATGTACCAAGTTCATCAATTCGTGATCTAGCGGTTCAGATTCTCACTAAGTCAATGATGTTGTGTTTCAGCGCTGAACTTTATAAGGTTTCGTGTGTTGCCCTGCGCAAACGTCAAAGTCAGCTCGACGAAACACACGGACTTCATACGCTCCTTTAGTCACTTGTTGTGCAACTTCGACGTAAATGTATTCTGCTTCCTTCTAATTTGCTTCACATACCTTGCAACTCATAGCCGTGTCAGTCTACCATTATCACGCTATAGAAATATATACAGTCACAGTGTCGTTTACTGTGCTGGATTATCCATTTTGTTATATGTAACTCAAGTTTATTATCATTCGAGATTTAGCAGTGGAAGCAGTAATAACTTCAGTCTACCAACGTGCCGATATGATATTGTCCAATATTCATTTTAATACGACCTTAATTTCACGTTATGTATTAGTTGTAAATCACTTCGAAAATAGTTTTTCACTGTCATATAGCTGTAATGCTCTTCCAGATGGCTCCAAGAAAATCAAAAAAGGTAGTAGGTTCTTCGCCGCTTGTTTATATAAAATGTTGCAATGGATGCGTGCCATTAGCTGAATTCATCACCGCGTGATTGTGAAATCTTTCTTGACACCATGAGAAATTGACACATATCTACGAGACTGATGGACTCTAAATCCGTACGCTCCGAAATGCTAGATGTGAAAAAGAAAATCGGCCATTTATGAAAAATAATGGCCTAAAAAATGGGATCATTAACGTCCCCTTCGCAACTTAAATAATAATGTTTGTTTCTTAAAGAAAACGTGCCACTAGTCAGAAGTAATTCTAACAAGCATCACAAGAGCAACTGAAAACAGTGAAGGAATCACGAATGAATTGAAACGAGTTTTCGTCTTATTAGAAACCAGAGACTTTCTGTCAACAATTCGATATTCAAAAGAATGTGGGGAACCACCTCTAAGAAGGTGTTATTGCTGGCATGCTGAAGTTCACTTCAGCTCAGGCAGAATGATTTCTTTAGAAAGGGCCTAAGGGTATTTACATGAGATCATGCTCCCACAAATAATCAACACTGCGCTTGAAACTGCTCAATTTATATGCAGACAGCAATTTCGTGCAGCGTGAAACCGTGTTATCTTCATTAAGATGGATTTGCCACAATTAAGGTTTACTATATTAGCATATACTAATGCTATCATTTAAATTCTGCAATTTGATGTGCTACAGTGATAGCGACTTGATTGTGCTATCTTGTAATTCAGACACAGATTTTTTGCACTTCGATGTCCGGTTATCGATGGCTCTCTGCTAAGCGTTAGTGAAGTAGTTGCCATTTGAATTTGTGTGCATTCGTTTGTAGAATTTTGGTTCATAAATCCACTGCTAGTGCAACATCTACAAGAATATTTCACGTTTTTATACTTCACACACTTTGCACTTCTACGTCTGCTTGCCTATTATTCATTGGGCGGGAGATGCCATCTGCTGTGCCGGAACGTTCGCATTCG